AGAAAGGCTAAATTGTGTTAAAAATGATGAATTAGTTAAAAGCAACAGAACCAACTATGTGACCCCTGAGGGGTGGGGCCTTGTTCTTAATTAGGGCTCTCTTTGTTTTTGATTCTGAAAAACTCTGCTTCCTGGCATCCAGGAGTTAGAGAATGCTCCTTTCATCTTTTCTCAAAACTAATTTTTGATGCCCGCCTTAATGGGAATAGTCATTTGTTTTTGTTGTTTTATAAACGGTATTGCTCTATCGAGGAGTGTGGAAATGTTCTTGAGTGTATTGTTGATGCAAGTTACAATCACTTTTGCCATCCTGGCAGATATGTAAACCACTAATATACTGTTTTTACTCCCTCTTTTTTCCCATTAAAACGGATGTAAAATAGTATAAAGATTTGTTACTATAAAGTCTCTTTAAAATGTACCTGGGTCTGAATAAATAGTTGCCTGATCGGTTTCTAAAGAAGTATTTTCTGCTTCAGCTATGATTATGGCAAGAAAACCTTTCTATCTCAGTTTTAGGAATAAAGTTTGAAGTGATAAAAATAGCCAAAGATACGGGAGCTCTGAATTTCCGGTGGTTATGGTCATGTACAAATGCTATTCTTCAGAAGGTTTTCGCCAGGAGTACTGCTGGACTGTCCCCCCAGATGGCTTTTACTTTTTTTAATTGTATGAATTTGCCAGGGCACTGTTTATATTATTTTAATTTCTAACTTAATGAAATGTTCATGAGTTCGCGTACTGTGTCTCTTTCTGTGTAAAAACTAATAGAAACATATATGGAAACATACAAAATGGCGTTCTGGGGCTTTGCTATGCAAAATGTAGTCTTGAGGATCACCAGAGCACCAGCATCTAGATGCTTGTTAGATGCATCATGACAGTGTATTTGGCCGGGGATGGTTTCTGCTTTTCCATAGAGGGATAACATGTTAGGCTCTTTTATCCGTAGTATTTCCTTTCTTGTGCCTTTAAGGCTCCCGGATGCTCCTCAGTCTTTTTGGTGCAGCATTACGTTCCAGGATATTTTAAGGAGAAAATAACATTACTTAGGTCACAGAAGCCTTTCAAAATGTATTTTTATGCAGATCAGATACTAGGATGCAGTATTAAAATTCAAGTACTACTTTATAGCATTTGTTGTTGTTTTATAACCAAAAAATAGTACAAGCTACCAACAAATGTAGCAACTGCCACATGAAAAACTGATGTCTAAGACTGGGTACTACTAACTTAGGTTACAAGTTCAAGACCTTAATCTTTATATGAAAGTACTTGAACATTTTGAAGAGCATAGTGGTTTGGTGTCACCTCCTTAGTAATAGTACAGCGGCTGTCAGAGTCTGGTCCCTGAATTAACTGTATTATCACTTGTGTGAATTCTGGAGAAGAGCATACTGCAGGGTCCCCTCCGTACCTACTGAATCCAGTAGTGTTTGGGAAGCAGCAGTCTGTTTTCACATGCCCTCCAGATGATCCCGATGCATGCTCAAGTTGGAACTACCAGAATAGTGGTTCTGGTATAGTGAAGCTACAGTTAAGTTCTCCATCACCAGTTTGAATGTAGTTCCACCTGATCAAGTGTGAAAATGCATGAATGTTGGAAATGGAACACTGAAGTAATGAAACCCCACCTTTATGCCTAGAGATATGTGCACCTCTAAGGCCATGAATTATACAGGAAGTATGTAAATTCACAGCTGTAGTTCAAAGTTGTTGCACATACTTGGTTTACTCTGTATGTTTGTAGGATTATTTATAACTTTGTATAGCCTGAAACTTTTTATAGAACTACATTTTTATAAGTATGCAAGGTGAAAATAAAACTTGCTTGCCTGATAGTTGATAAATGTAGCATTTATGCTGGCAGTGAGTTTTAATCTTTATGTAGTAGACTGGCCCATGCACCTGGCCAAGAAAAGAGACTCCCTCATTTCATTCTCCTGGCCAAGAAAAAGTTCCCCCAATTCATTCTTGAAGGACAAAGAAATGAAAGCAGTAACTTTGTAGCCTTTTAACAGTAGCTAGCATTCACAGGGGTGAGGAGGAGGTTAAGGAAAGGAAAAAGGGCCGAGCATGACATACCATGCTTGGAGTTTACTTCTGAGGCTTAATTTTTAGTGTGATTAAGATATTATTTATTCATTTCAGAGAGTGAGAGATCACACAAGAGCGGGGCGGTGGCACAGAAGCCAGCAGCAGGCTCTTCACGGAGCAGGGAGCTGGAAGCGGGGCTCAATCCCAGAACCCTGGGATCATGCCCAAGCTGAAGGCAGACACGTAACTGACTGAGCTACCCAGGCACCTATTTTTAGTGTGATTTTTTTTTTTTTAAGATTTTATTTATTTACTTGACAGGCAGAGATCACAAGTAAGGGGAGAGGCAGGCAGAGAGAGAGGAGGAAGCAGGCTCCCTGCTGAGCAGAGAGCCTGATGCGGGGCTCGATCCCAGGACCCTGGGATCATGACCTGAGCCAAAGGCAGAGGCTTTAACCCATTGAGCCACCCAGGCGCCCCTTTAGTGTGATTTTTAAAATTAAAACGTAACACATGAAATCTGGTTAAAAGCACTTTATTGATTACAATATCAGTTCACAGCAACATTTCACAGAGCTACTGTACAAATAATGAATCATTGTGCAAGAAAGATCCAAGAATACTATTAAGTCATGGTACAAGTCCATAGTTTGGTTTAAAAGCTTTCGTAAGAGCTTTAATCTACTACGTTCACCTTGCCCATAGTCATATTACTGACATTCAAAGTCAATTGGCTATAAGTTTGTAGAAACCACTGTAGGTGAAGAAAAACATTTTAATCAGCTTTAAAAACCACTTCTATGTGGATGCCTTTGGATAAGAATACATGAGTCCAAGTGTTCAGATGCTTTCAAAACAAATAGAATAGAGCACCATTGTGTAAAAAACAAAAAGGCTTGAAATATCTACCATGTATCACTGAAGTTCAATTAAAAAATAAATACTACATGATGTAAGATTTTGTTGGGAACACTTAACACCAGTTGAAACACAAAACCAGCTTTTTCATGATGCTGCATTATAACTATTTTATAGGATTTTATAGGATCAGTAATTGGATTTAAGAAAAAAGAGGAAATTTTATCAACATGCAAACAAATCCGCTAAATACAAGGTGTACCATCAATCTAAAACTTTTAAAAGATACGCTGCTAGCTTAGACATTCAACTATGAACCATTTTAATGAGTACCTATTGTAAGATATACCACAGAATTTAAGGCAACTCAAAATGAGCAGGAGGAAAAACTAGTAAATATGAAACATAATTCACCCAAACAGTCTAATTTAAAATACTAATTTTTTTCATTGTGCTACTCTTTCTCACAAGAAAGATGGTCTAACCTTGTGGGTGCTTTAAAAAATTCTAACAGGAGATAAGACAGTTTAGAATTTTGCTTTCCACAATGGCTAAAGGGAAATTTGAAGCTGAACACAGTACTTGATTTAAAGGCAGAAATTTTTAAGCCTGACTTAAACCCTCAAGACTCTCGAGAGAATACTGTGAAAATGATAGGCCCATTTCTAAGACTGATTAATCAGTTCCCTAAGTTTAAACATCAACAGATGAGCCACAGGTATTCACCTGCCTTGTAATTTAAAATGTGAACATTCAACAGTAACCAAAGCATAAATTTCCCTGAATGTTGTCACTTTTAGAAAGGTTAAAATTATTAAATCTAAGACTTTGATAGTGTTGGAGAAGGTCAGTTATAATACTGGCACAGTATATTTTAGCAATAAAAATTTCACTGTCACCTGGAGAAGGCAAGATCCATTTCTCTTAACAGGTTAACTTGAAGACTGCCGAACATGTTCCAGAAGCACCTATATCTGTATGTCTAGGATACTAGTCCACTATCATGCAGTAGCAGTTCAGCTGAGTCTACATTAAAATGAGAATGGCCTATTAGACTCCTACAATTGAAATATTAAACCCAAACTTTTGCATCTGTGAAGATGAACTCAGTGTGGTGTGCATGGAACCATGGGATCAAGCTAGAAAAATCTGAGGCCGGGGGGGGGGGGGGGGGGGGATGAGACCTTGGATATTCAGTCTAAACCTCTAATACAGGTGCCAAAACAGGACTGCCTGTCCATCAAGGTGGAGAGGTCTTTGCTACCAGCTTTTGGGATGCTGTGCTGAACCACATGGCAATCATCATCACTCTTTTTAAAAAAGAATATGTTCTCTTAAATTATTCTTGCTAGATCTGGGGGAAAAAAAAACACTTTCTGAGATGATTAATCTATAAATAAACATGCTGAGGCATATTATGTTAAAATGTTTCTTACAAGGTAAAAGAAAACAGGCACCAGATAAAGGCAACAATCTTGATGCAAATTCTTTAAAACTGTAGAGTAATAAATACCGGTTAGAAGTCTTATGCACAACACTTGAGACTATCAGCTGAACTCAAACTGCAAGTAAATAAATATACCTAGCAATTGGAACCTGTATTACTGGAGAGCAAAGATTTAGCTAGTAAGTTAATGTGGTAATAAGGTCACCATTTGGTCATATGTATAAATAGCACAATAGTGATTGGGTCTTAGTTGCCTAGTACACATTTAATTATGGGAACTGCTTTTAAGCTTATCTACAAAGATTTCAACTGTTTCTATCAACATGCTTAAGACCATGGAATTCTTACAGTCTGTGCCCCTCTGGCAAAAGTGTCTTGTTGTTAGAGAAACTTTCAAGGTAGAGGAGATGCTCTCATATATATATTATATATATACATATATATATTATATATATATGGCTATTTTGCTCATGGCAGAAGAGCTTTCTTACAGGAATTTGGAATGAACTGCTGAACTACATGGCAAACCCTCACCTTTTTGGGAAATGAATACATTCCTTTAAAATATTCTTGCCTTACCTTAAAGAGCTATTCTTTATGAAATGACAGTCTACAAACATTAATTGCAAAAAAAGTTCATAGAAATATTATGTGTTTATAAATATACATTCATGCCTGCCATCTAAAATAGTCTTTTTTTTTGGTCCTATATCTTACTCTTCCTTTATCCGTTTTCAGTTATCATCATCAGCTGATCTTAAAACTGATAACAGACTTCATTATAGTTGATGCACTTACTGGCATATTCACAATATAAAAATGAAAATTCACAAGTAAATTTTGGGGAGCATTTAGATTAGGGTTACGTGTGATCAAAAGTTGAAACCTAAGTTGAAACAGACATGGTTTACTAAATTACAAAAGTAATGCACTTCTGTATAAGAATAATCCATGACTTCGTCAATCAAGACTAATAATCTTGTATTATCAATCATTTAGCTTTAGGTATAAGGGGAAAGTATCTTTGTTTAAATTGAGGGGGGCATTCTAGTAACAGACACATTATATCATTGACAAGTAGGAATTGCTTAGGAAAATACTAAGCAATGTTCCTCTGACTCCTTTAAGGACTGCTCCTGGAATTTTTCTTTTGGCTTTAAAGTGGAGTCACTTGGATCTAAGTATTCCTTTTGGCAAAATCACTTAGAAACCATTTTTTTGTGCCAAGTGAAAAATCACAGAAGAGCGAAAAGTCTTGAATGTTTCCTTTTTTAAATTTAAGTCACGATAATATGAAATCTGAATTGATATAAACTGAACACAAACTCATAAAGCCACCTTGCTACACAACTGTAACTAATCAAGTCTAGTGACTGGTTAGATTTTAACACTTCTTTCAACAACGTAATGCCATCACATTGTATTTCCCATCTACAGGTCTATCAATGGAGAATACTGGACAAAATTCTTCAGATGCAAGGACAACCCAAATGTTAATCTGAAATAATGAGGGTAACCTACAAATTCAGTTTCAGAATATGAAATCACTAGGAAAGCCCTGCTCTTTAGAGAGCTACTCAAAGTGTCATTAGATCATAACCAGATTTTTTAAATGTTTAGAACTTTTTTTTTATGCAATCACTGCTAACTATGTAAGAATTTCTTATGTATGTCTAAAATTTCAGAATGATACCTTGATTCCCTGGCCTTCAGATTATCTCCCCCTCCAAGGACTGAAAATGAGCACTTACTTAAATTCACAGGATGGCAGAAGGATACACAGAAACTAATGATACTCAACAGGGACTGCCCTCAGAGGTATCCAGGCCTGCTAGCATTCTTAAACATTAAGCAACCAGGAGCTAAAAGGTCAGAAATCAAGGAGACTTTCTTCAAACGTAAGTACACATACATATGGGATCACTTCCATCTCTTACAATGCCTACTTCCTCCATTACAAAACTCAAAAATGTCATGTTTCTTATGTATAGAAAGTTAAAATTGTAAGTCTTAAAAAACAATCAAACATGATAAACCGCTATAATGTGAACATTCTGTCCTACACAAAGAAAATAAAGAATTTCGAGTACAAGCAAAAATTCATCAAGGTTCAATTAGCTTAATTCCTCAAATTAATGCACTGGTCCTTTCAATCTCAGCAAGCACCCCTTGCCTTACCCCCCCACCACTTGTTTTGTTTTGTAGTTTACTGAAATCTTTTTGTATATAACAATCTCAATAGAAAAATCTTCACCTGCAAATATAAGGTAGAATTTTCTTCTCACAGCGATAGGCTGTAGCACTGATTTCTCCAGATAGCAACGGAGAACAGAAAACATGTATGCACTATTAATTCCAGATTCTAAGAAAACTGTCCCAAGAGCCTGTTGCCACAGCCATGCCATCATCTGTTACACCTAAACAGCTGACACGGTTATCATGACCAGCAAGAACACCTGAAAAGCAGAAGTTTAATAAAAAGTTAACAAAAGCCAACTTTCAGAATTAAACAATTATGTGCATAAAAGATTTAGAAGAGTATTTAAAAAAATTTTTTTTTCAAAACACCATATTTAATTTTCAAATCTTTTCTTTATCCTTTATTTTCCAAGGGCGTACTGTGCATGTTTAAGTGTATGTTCACCGGTTTCTGAAACAATTATCAATAAACAATTGTGAGGACGAAAAGAGTTGGAAAGAAACAGTATGCCTGGTATGGGAAATCAGAGAACAACACTTAAAACTCATTAGAATGTATCAACAAGGCAAAAAGTCTAGAATACCTATATATTCACTATATATCCACATCTTGAGTAACTATTGCCAAAAGCAGTCTCAGGAATGACTTTGCCTTTAGCTTCAAGAACTATTCGTTTGCAAGAAATTTGTTCACGAGGTTTTATTTCATCCCTATCCCTATCTCAGCAATACACCGGGATAACACAGACCGTCAGTACTAAAGTGGACGTTTGCCTTTTTAAAATTCTTCTGGCTACCTGGCTGTCAGAGGAGGCTCCTTGCTCCAAATGGGGAGCCTGGGTGCGAGGGGTAAGCTAGGTAACTGCAAGGAAAATGAGAATCGTGAAGATCTACAAGAAAACTTGGAATATATCAAATTCAAGAATTACTTTTTTTTAAATAAACTCTGAGTTTGCAGTATCTATAACGAAGCAAAATCATGTTCAATCATGTTCACCCAACCGCAGGAACATAACCTCATCTAACCCTTAATACCTCTGTAGTCCCTCAGGCACAGCAATGTTTGGCAACAGGCAAAGGTACAATCGTGGGTTGAAGTAACAGAAAATGAGCACTGTGACTAAATACTCCAAGTCATATTGGAAAGGAAAATGAATTAGCAATTTGCAAGTCGCCATTCAATTTTTACCGTTAGAGTATCCAGTTGGGCCAATGAAACCAAGCAGCTGTAAGCAAAGCAAAACTAACTCAAGCATATGCTCAATTATGGGAAACAAACACATTCTGATACTGTTATGGATACTAACTGATTCAATCCAGGCAAAACACCTAATACCTCTTTAAACAAAAGTCCTAATTGTGTAAACACTGATGTTCTAAATAAAATCCACTCTATGTGGGAAACATTAGAAGACAGGAAGGATGCAGCTGTAGCGGGAGGAGAAATGTTAAAGCTGAGCCCTCAACAGAGAACGCCAAGAAGTTAAAAAAAAAAAAAAAATGATTCATTCAAATCGTTGTTTTAAAACTTCCAGTCTCTGTTGGTGTTCAGCTTTAACATCTCTCCTGCTGCTCCTAATAAACCATATGGGAGTGCACACACGCACACAAACGGGAGTGCTAGCAGGAAAGGCGTGTTATTTAAAGATACGGAAGTACATACTTAGGAGCTACCTTTGGGAACAGGAAATAGCCGCTGGGGCCAGAGGGCTGCTGCTTTGGTAACTAGCCATGTACCTGTGTGATTCCTTATGCATAATACTGATTGTAAGAAATACTTAAAATCACTCTGTGTAAGGTATTATTCATGACAGTCTACAGTGGAACTTGATACACTCACTAATATTGTGGAGGCCACAGGGGAGAAGTCAGAGCATGGGGCTAAGGGGAGAGTGGGCCTGTGTCCTGTCCCAGATAAGATCCACTCCAGAAGGAAGAGGATTCATAGCAGTTACAGTGCCTCCTGTCAGGTTAGAAGAAACTGTAATCTAGTGAAGTCCACACTGAATCAGATTCACTGTTCATCTTCAGAGCAAAACTTACCAAACAAGACATTCTAGAACTAGATGTTACTAATCTTTAGAAAATGGGAATGTCACTAGGGACCACGAATGAGAGCTGCCAGGGTGCCATTCCCCATGGCTCCGTAGCATCCGGGAGGCCTGGAGAACCACCCGACAGGAACCTCTCCCTGTTTCCTGACAAAATCCAAACCTATTGAAACTTCTTTACCAACCTGCACGATCTCCTTTTAGCGTGTCCCACACGTTACAGTTGAAGTCATCATAACCAGCTAACAGGAGGCGCCCACTTTTTGAGAAGGCTACAGAAGTGATCCCACAGATGATATTGTCGTGAGAATACAGCAGTAACTCCTGGTCTGCACGGAGGTCAAAGAGCCGGCACGTGGCATCATCAGAGCCAGTGGCAAAGGCATATCCGTTTGGGAAAAACTAGAAAGCAAAGGAACAGACATTTATTCCCCAGAAGTATACAAAATCCACATGAGGCAGTGTGATAAGACCTAAATTTGAACTCCAACTTGGCTTCTTCCAGGTAAGGAATGTCGGGCCCTGAAAATTCTTAAACACTTTTGGCCCTCAGTTTCAGAGTGCTGGTTAGGACTGAATGAACTAACATTCAAGGTCCGTGGTTCAGCACACAGCAAGTACGCAGTAAAGACTGGCTCTGTTCCTCCATGCAGCTTATTAAAAGATTTATATCAAATGGTACTGTTTATAGAATTTATATATGCAGTCTTAAACATTCCAAAGTCCCATCATGAAAAATAAACAGGAAAGATTTTACAAAAGAGAACATAAATCAGCCTAGTTAGGCTAGGTGTAAACTTCAGGTAGAAGTAAACTATGCATTACTAGTTTGTGAATCCCCTTTTCTCAGAACCTAGCAGAACACTGATTTTTTTTTTTAATAAAACAAAGACTTTTTTTTTTCATCTATCTGTTGGTCATCTGTACATCTGTATTATTTTTGTGAAATGATTTTTCACGACCTTTGCCTATTTTTTACTATGCTGTTAGTACTTGCTGATTTGTAAGAATAAGATGAATGCAAATTTTATTTTTACACATTTTATAGTTCTTTATAGTTTCTTTTAAAAATATAAAATTTCATTTTTATGTAACCAAATTTATCTTTCCATTTGAGATTTCTTCCATTGTTTTATGAATACAGTCCTCAGGCTTATTAGCTGATGTTCAATTGTATCTTTTTCTAATTTTTTAAAGTAATTTCATTTTTCACATCTTAATTTTTATCTATCCAGGATTTATTTGATATACCAGCATTCAGTATAAGGATCTAACTTAATTTTCTTAATAGTCAAGTAACTTTCCCAACTGTTTAAATAATCATTTTACTGATTTTGTTGTTACATCTTTAATTCACTGAACTCTTGTGTACACAAAAAAGTTAGTTTTGTCTCTCCTTTCCTGTACCTGTACCACACTTTTTAAAAAATCCTAGGGGTACCTGGGTGGCTCAGTGGGTTAAAGCCTCTACCTTTGGCTCAGGTCATGAGCCTCGAGTCCGCATCGGGCTCTCTGCTCAGCAGGGAGTCTGCTTCTCCGTCTCTCTCTGCCTGCCTCTCTGCCTACTTGTGATCTCTGTCCATCAAATAAATAAATAAAATAAAAAACCCTAAGTTGACAGTAAGTTTTTCTATCTGGCATGGCAAAATACTCATGGTACCCTGATTCAAATCAGTCTGTTTTCTCCTCCCCTCCCCGTACTTCAGTTTCAAAGACATCTGATCAAGTTTCTTTTCTACATATTCCTCTGACTCATCTCAAAAAAAAAAAAGAAAGAAAGAAAAAGATCCACTTGGGGTTTTTTTGAGGGAGAGGGAGAGAATCCCAGCAGACTCTCCTGGACACAGGGCTCCATCTCATGACCCTGAGATCACAACCTGAGCTGAAAACAAGACTCGGACGCTTGACGGACCGCACCACCCAGCCACCTCTCCACTTGGGTTTTGATTCAAATTTGTATTAAGTCTAAAAATTAGTTTGAGGGATAAATGATTAGCTTATAACATGCAGTCTTTTCACTCAGGAAGATGGTACTTTTTCAAAGATTTTATTTTTTAATTTAGAAAAAGAGGAGAGAGTCCTAAGCAGGCTCCAGGCCCAGCATGGAGCCCCAGGTGGGGCTCCATCTCATGACCCAAGCTGAAATCAAGAGTTGATGCTTAACTAAGCCACCCAGGGACCCCACAATTATTAAGTAATCTCTATACCCAAAACACAGGGCTTAGACTTACAAGCCCAAGATCAAAAGTCACATGTTCCACTGACTAAGCTAGCCAGGTATCCAGGGAATATGGAATTACCAAAAAAAAAAAGTTTCAACAAAATTTTATGATTATAAAGATTCTACACATTTCTCATTAAATGTATGCTTCTTTCCTAATTTCTGTTGCTATTCCCAATAGGATTTTCTTCCTTTCCGTTTTCTGCCTGGTTATTATTGGTGTATGTAAGAAAGTTACTGATTTTAAAATAGTTTCTGTCACCCAGAAAATACACTGAAATCTGGGATCTCTAGAGAGCCAGACTATATCACCTGCAAATAATGATATTTGTTTTACTTTCTAATTCAGCTTTTATTTCCATTTTGGGTCCAACTCTACCAGCTGGACGTTTCAGAGCCATTTAAATAATGGTGATGGTGTATCATCTTGTTACTTAATCCAAGTAACAAGCCTCCAGTGTTTTCACTGTTAAGTCCCCCCACACTCAGGATGATGGTGGAAGAAGGCAGTGATAACAAGGTAACAGATTCTCAGAAATGCAAGTACTTCTTATTTTAATGCTTTTAGTTTGGTTCAAGCCTGGTCCCAGTGGAGATGGTTTTTCAAACCTTTCCGAAACCTTTTTTCAAACCTTTTCAAGTTCCCAAAAGGCATAAGGAACCCCTAGCCATAATTTCCTCTATCTACCAAAGATCCAAATCATTAGTCCTCCCAGGCTACAGAGTAGTTTAGAAAGAAGGTCCTTAAGCAAGTGAAAGGCTTCACCAAACCCTTACCGCCTACTTAGAGGCTAATGATTTTGACCACTTTCTTCCATCCTAACAGCCAGCAAGATACTCTCCATTGTTCCTTTGCAGGAAGTCCAACAATACCATTTACATACATTTATCAGCATGTATGGGGTTAAACCTGTTCTCTACCATGGATCGAAACAGAAGCTATAGTACAGTAAAGGACACCTAGCGCGGAACAAACACCCAATCAAGAACACCCCTTTCAGCTCAGTGTATGGGGCACAGCACGCCAGTCTATGTTCAAGATACAGGATGACCAGACATCTGTTTTGTATAGGATTGTCCCCATTTATGCCCTTCTCCCAGGCAAAACTGGTAACCGCATTCTCTCACACTCAAAATTTCACATTTCCTAGGCTGGATGATAGAAGCTCACGTTACCAATATGATAAACTAGTTTTAACTGGGAGCTTAGGATGGTCCTCAGAATACAGGAAATAGGGGCACCTGGGTGGCTCAGTGGGTTAAAAGCCTCTGCCTTTGGCTCAGGTCATGATCCCAGGGTCCTGGGATCGAGCCCCACATCGGGCTCTCTGCTCAGCAGGGAGCCTGCTTCTTTGGGTTTGCAATATAACCTTTACTATTCTTAATTTTATGTATCTGCAATATTTACCCTTCTTAAGTTTACCAGAGATTTAGGGAATCAAGTCTTCTGAGTATTTGAATTTTTAAATTTTCTAACAGTTTTCTATTATAAAATTTTCTAAATATTTGTTCATTCAACAAATATTCATTAAGTACCTACTATATCATGCACAGTTCTAAATGCTGGTCTGGAGATCTATGGAAGTCAACAAAACTGACAAAAACCTTTGTTTCCATAGAGCTTATATTCTTGTGAAGCAGACCATAAACATGAAAAGCAAAGAAAAAATAAGCATGTTAGATCATGATAAATACTGAGGGGGAAAAAAAGCCAGAAAAAGGGCAAAGGAACATGGGTAAAAGCTTAGGGTGTCCAGGGAAGGCTTTACTGAGAAGCTGTATTTACTAGAGAGCACGCCCCACCAGCACCACCGGGAAGGAGGTGAAGAGCTGGGCTTCTGCTGGGAAGATCAGAGACACAGAGAGGGGGTCAGTAGTGGTGACAGTTCCTGCCATACAAAATGTGCTGGCGAGGTTAGGGGGATGGGAGGTTGGAGGGGTGGCAAGAAGGCCAGTGTGACTGAGGCAAAGGGAGGACTGGGCAGTTCAGAGAGGGAGGGAGGCAGCGTGGGTCATGGGTGACCACAGGTTCACAGTCCCTAAGAGGCTGATATGAACCCCTCAGGGTGGCTGTTTTTCAGAACTTTAAAGTTTTTCGGATTTTAGAAGAGGAAAATGCTGTGTATTAAGAACAACTCCACTGGGCCCAGAGTAGTGTCCAGTGTGTCCAGTGACAGATACATCATACTAAGTGGGGTAAGTAAAGACGCTGAGCTGCTCCTTGTCGTTCTAGTCAGGTTCTGCCACAGAGTAAGTCTACACTAAACTTAGGGGAGAAAACATTTTTCACAGCTCTCCAGATGTCAGACTTGCAGCTAGGCTGGACGGACCACAGTGAAGGGGCAAGAGGGTAGGGGGTGTAGGACCTGCTGGTTCAGGGAGAGGTTCTCACTTCAAATCTACATTTCTGCTTTTCTCTTTACCAGCTCCTTCCTCTCTTTCTCCTAGTGTGAACTGTTCTTTTTTTCTGAAGTCCTGAGCTATTCACTTCATATTTATTATTTCTTTAGTGGCCTACTATGTAGTTGGTTCTTATGTTTAAGAACATCTGTCCAAGGGTGCCTGGGTGGCTCAGTGGGTTAAAGCCTCTGCCTTTGGCTCAGGTCATGATCCCAGGGTCCTGGGATCGAGCCCCACATCGACCTCTCTGCTCCGTGGGGAGCCTGCTTCCTCCTCTCTCTCTCTGCCTGCCTCTCTGCTTAGTTGTGATCTCTGTCAAGTAAATAAAGTCTTTAAAAAAAAAAAAAAAAAAAAAAAAACCATCTGTCCAGTGCAAAGTGCAATGTTTAAACTAGAGTATTCAAATCCTTACCTTTTTTCCTGCCTACCTAGGGTATCAGGATCTCAAAGTTGTAGATGAAAGTCTCCTACACAATGGTGTTTTGGATTCATTTTTCCACGCATTTCTAATGGCTTTGGCTTCGTGTACATTTCAGTGTGATAGCTTCACTACACACCATCTCTTGTTAACATAAAACTTCTCATCTTGCAATTTGTTTCAATTTTACTTTGTATTATAGAAATATACTAAAATTACTCCAGATTTCTTTCAGTTTATAATTTGCCCACTCTTTTATTTTCACTGCTAGCTTTCCTGGGCCATTTTATTTTAGATATAGCTCTTGTACATACAGTCTGACTTACAACATATCTTGTAATAGTGGCGACCATTTACATGTAT